CAGGTGAATAGTCTTGATCGTTTGAGCACAACCAGATGTATATTGTGTTTACAAAGCTGTCCTGAAACGTTCATGGAGGAAAATCACTGACTAACATCAATATTCGTAATAATAAGACTACCACTACTTCTGCTATTTCAAACACCACTGTTACTACTATTGTTGCTTCTGTTTGTCCGGGATTAGTGTCGTGAACGCTCAGTAGTCGAGATTTCTTAGAATCGCTACCCTGAAATGGTCGACTTCCTGGGATTTATTTATGAAAATTCCCCGCAAATTACATTCATCCCACAATTGACAAGCATATACATTCCAGTGAACTATGTTTGTATTCATATGTCTAATGATGACTGAATGTAAAACTTGACCGTCCAACTGTATGCAGATAAATGCTGAGTTTTAGGAGGAAGCTCAATGAAGACATGTCCCATATTTGCGTAGCTTTCCGGCATTGTGTGACATTTTTGCACCCAATGATGTGGTTTTTCTAAGTGAAAGTTTTTTTCTCCTTTTTGTTCATAATGGTAGTGGCAGTATTAAATGTGGTAATAGCAGTAATCAAGGTAGTATGTATCATTACCAAGGTTTGATTTGATAATTTCGAATAAATTGAGCATTGGGTAGATTGTTATAAATAAATAATATATTTGTAATATCCCAATGAGTAGAAAATTAGATTTTCTGACGTTTCCTGACTTAGTGCAAGTCACTTCTTCAGAGAATAAATAACCAAATTAAAATTAATCCAAATTTAAATAGTACAACGGAACAATAAGAATAATATTTGATCAATCAAAAACAGGTCTGAACAAGTTAATGTCATGTTATTTCTGTCAAGGTGATTCATAAGTGATATGCATGTAAATTTGTGTATATGTACATTGTTTAAGAATGAAAAATTGTGTGACCTTCATGGTGAGAAAGGATAGAGTTTAATTTGTAAGATATTAGGTACACAAAGAAACCTCCCAACAATCCTGTAGAATTGAACCAACTTCAAATTAAATCGGCAATAGCAGTTCATGCCATTTTCAACAACCACTAGATTGATTTTAAAAACATCAAAATATTGCAAAAAGGCTTTTCCAACTACAAAGAAAGGAGGGTAACTGAAGCTTTCCATATAATGCTTAATCCTACTTCTCTCAATAGAAAGGAAGGCCTCACCACACGTCCTACTTGGATCATCTATTCTAGCCATTCAGTCTGATCATATTTACAATTCACACTACCATATTACAAATCAAACTCTATCCTTTCTCACTAAAACTATCGAAAATTTCGATAGTTTTGTTGTTTGATTATATTTTCCTTGAAAAAGCCTTGACCAGATTGCCAGGCGAAACGGAATTACTTCAAATTCTTTCGCTAAGATTTTACAAATATATATTAATCCTCTCTAAGGTAGATTTGGTTGTAATCTACACAACCATTCATCGATATAATTATTCGTTTTCGAGCGTTAGACGGTCTTTTATTTGTTCATCATAGAAATCAAGTCCTAGTACACCACAGTCAATACTTATATTCAGTAATGATAGGTATTCGATTCCCGAAAATAAATTTAAGCTGAAATGCCTGTTAAAAGATGACCAATGAGTACAGAAAATTGATCCTACAGTTAAAGTAAATACAATATACTAAAAAGAAGAATATATTTGTAAAATCTCAGCGAATGAATTATAAGTAAATCCAACGTTTCGCCTGGCAATCTGGTCCAAGCTTTTTCAAGGAAAATATAATCAAACAACAAAATTATCGAATATAAATAGGTACATGGTTCTTCGGTTTACTGTATACTGAATAAGTCATCCAATCGACGTGAAGGATTTCTTTATAGATAGGTATTTGTATTAATGTGTAAGAGACATGTTTATATGAAAAATAATAAAGGTCAAACCAATAAAATAAAATAAAAGTTCATTTGAAAATAATCAAGGGGAGAGAAAAATGAATTTTTGAAACATAGAGATAACTTTTATAACCAAATCACAAAAAGACGTCAAATGAGAAAATTTGAACAAATGTTTAAACATCCGTCGAAATCCAACAATTATGAGAATAAAATTAAATCCAAGGAACTCGATATAAACAAAATAGTGGTAAATCTTTCGGATAGACAGTTAAATCAACACGAACTTTCAATACTTAAAAAAGGTCTCAATTTCAATATGAACAGAACACGGATTTCGGCTTCTGAAATTATTCCGTTGATCGAGCCTGTCTTAAGCAATGTTCCGGATGATCAGGCAAATTCATTGCGGTTTAAAATCGCAGCTGCAATTTTGAATCAAAAACCTAATACGCCTAATATCTCAAAAGAAGAAACGTATGCCCTAAAACAGTTACGTAAAGACAGAAAAATTGTTATTATGAAAGCAGACAAGGGAAACACCACTGTTGTTATGAATAATTCTGACTATGAAAGAAAAGTCAATGAACATCTCAATAATGGACCGTATGAAAAAATCATGAAGAGCAAATGTAGAGCTACTTTAAATAAGTTGAAAGCTGAAACGGCCAAATTGTTACAGAATTTAAAGCCCAAACTAGGATCATCTGTATGGTTCTCGTTATATCCAAAAAGCAATAACCCGTGTAGATTTTATGGCCTACCAAAAATACACAAAACAGATGTACCACTAAGACCTGTGATTGATTACATTAATTCACCAACTTATAATCTTTCTAGATATTTGGCCAAAATTCTTAAACCATATGAAAGCGTAATAAAATATGGAATAAAAAATTCTAATGATTTCAAAAACATGGTCAGTAATATTCGGATAGAAGATGATGAAATAATGGCAAGTTTTGATGTTTGCTCATTGTTCACTAATGTTACTATTAAAAAAGCTTTAGATATTGTATATAATCTGTTAGATTCTGACATTGAACTTAAACAGAGTTGCCGACTAGACCCAACAGACATTATTAGAGCGTTGGAACTTTGCTTACATTCAACGTTTTTCATTTTTCGAGGAGTTTTGTACAGACAAACAGAAGGTGTGGCTATGGGATCACCTGTCTCTCCAATTGTGGCTAATTTATTCATGCATTCATTGGAAACAATTGCTATCTCAATGTGTTCCATTCCACCAAAAATTTGGGTAAGATACGTAGATGATACCTTTGTCATCATAAAACGAGATGGCTTAGACGAACTATTCCAGCAGTTCAACAGCTTAGATGACAAAATCAAGTTTACTAAAGAGTTGGAATCGACTGAACGCAGATTACCGTTTCTAGACTGCCTGGTTGAAAGGAAGGATAATGATTTTTTAAAAATTAATATATTCCGTAAGCCTACATATTCAGGAAAATTTTTAGATTTTAAGTCTGCGCACCCACACGCGACCAAAGTGACAGTGGCCAAAAATTTGATCACCAGAGTCAAAAAACTTGTCACTGAACCAGATGATATAAAAATGGAAATGAATTTAGTTGTATCCACTCTATTAATGAATAATTATCCGAAAGGTTTTATTAAAAGAATAATTAAGAATGAAGAACGGAATGATATTTTTGAAAAAAGAGTTAAGCAAGATTGGATGAATACAGTAGTGATCCCATATCGTAAAGGTATCTCAGAAGACATCAGAAGGATTTTAATTCGTCAAAATATAAGAGTATTCTTTCGAACAAACAATACTCTAAGATCAAAACTAGTAAGAATCAAAGATCCAATACACAAGGATGATCAACAAAATTGTGTTTATGAAATCAAATGTAATGATTGTAATGCAACGTATGTAGGTGAAACATCAAGACAACTGAATGTGAGGGTGAAAGAACACAAACTGTGCTTAAAGCATATTCCTAAATCCTCAATTGATGTAAAAAAGCTTGAGAACAGATCAGCGATAGCATTACATTCAATTGAATCGGGTCATACAATTGATTTCAATGGCACGAGAATCATTCAAAAAGGATTTAATTCTTACAAAGAAAGACTAACAGCCGAAGCCTTACATATATGGGCTAATTTAAACAATATTAACAGGAGAGATGGAATACAACTAGCTGCACCATGGCAACTAATAATTAATAAGTAAACCTGATTTCCTTTTTTACCATTCGATATATTTATGCCATAGTAACTAATTGATAGGTAATACGTTCAATAATTCAAATCCGTTATCTTATCTGAATATGTTAAACAATTGACTGGAACATTTTTTATAATAACACACTTCAATTACATATACACTCCTCGTTTACTTATCTTCATTTAATGCAGGCTGTGGCATTTTGATTCATTTCATATATAAAAATGATTTGTTTTCTTAATATACACAGACCGTAGTCAATATTAAGTTGAATGAAATTTCTTCTCACATCACTTGCGTATAAACACATTATGTTGTCTTAACACGTTTTTTTTTTTTGGTTCCATAACACACACAAAACAATTTGTCATAACCTTGAATTTACCTTATAATCCTTAAGTCATTCTATGGCCTAGGATAACATGACAATTTCTTATTTTTCTCTCCCCTTGATTATTTTCAAATGAACTTTTATTTTATTTTATTGGTTTGACCTTTATTATTTTTCATATAAACATGTCTCTTACACATTAATACAAATACCTATCTATAAAGAAATCCTTCACGTCGATTGGATGACTTATTCAGTATACAGTAAACCGAAGAACCATGTACCTATTTATATTCGATAATTTTGTTGTTTGATTATATTTTCCTTGAAAAAGCTTGGACCAGATTGCCAGGCGAAACGTTGGATTTACTTATAATTCATTCGCTGAGATTTTACAAATATATTCTTCTTTTTAATGTCTCAAATTAACTCGGCGCCCAAATATTGTGAAACTATTCGTTCAAATTTAGACGAAAGTTCTTAATTAAATACAATATAGTCGGTAAATACTTATTGAAAAGGTGTATAGGAACTGCAGATATCATTATGTAGTTTGTAACAAAATAGGTGCAACAAACTTAAAAGTAGTTACTATGTATACATGTTAGACACTAAAATTACTGACATACGAAGTGAACCTTCATGCACATAAAACAATTAACAAAGTTCTTAATGTGTTCAGGAGATTTACTATTTTAAACAAGTAATACTTTTTTCCAACGCATCTGTATTTTAGAGTAATAACAGTTCATTAGATTATGATACATAAAAATTGACATATTTTACAAATCAAGTAACTTAAATTTAATATCTATAGTGTTCCGCCTTGAATGGTCCGTCAACTGGTACACCCAGATAATCAGCTTGCTTTTTGGTTAATTTTGTTAGTTTGACACCTAACTGTTCCAAGTGAGCGGCAGCAACAGCTTCATCCAACTATAAGGAAAACAATCCAATTATCAACAGAGAATATGATGAGTACTGAAACTGAAAAGTATGCCAAAGATAAGAATCAAGTTACAAAAAACTTATAGTTCAAGTATTGCAGCACCCTACATAAACCATTTGAAACAAAAACTTGTGTATAAACTGTTTTTAGCGACTGAGTGAACACTGTCGGTTAGGCGAAGGGTCATAGTAGTTGACGAGATCTCGGGTCTTCATCAACTGAGGTGGTTAGGACATGCTCTAAGTACGCCTATATCGGGAGTGCCTCGTCAAGCGATAATTGTCGATAAAGTAGACTGAAAGAAAGCTAAGAGCGGCAAATGAAGATTGATCTACGCTATGCAGGTAGATGCAACCCAAACCATATTATCAATACTTATTCCTTTTCACTGCTATTCCTACTACATTATTCTGATCTCCTTCGCTAAGTCTTGTTAATTTCATCTCGACGTGCTAATGTATTAAGGCAGCTTCGACCAACGCACATCTATGTCAGGCTGTACACTGATGATGGCTGGATAACTACCTATTACATCCCTGTAAACACAAACTAATATGCGTTGTCTTATAACACACGCATAGAAATTATTCAAAGGAATGATGTCTTTATAATTGATTCATTACTGGGTAGTGATCGATTAGTTGTAAATACATCTCAGTCATGGCCAAGATAGCTCAGTGGTAACGTCTTTGACTGTGAAGCTGTGTGGCGCGGGGTCGAACCCGTCAGGGTTTCCTGTCGACTGCTTCCAACCACTACCTCAATGATACATGTTTATGTACCTATGTTTTCAACCTAAAATAAGTAACGTATCTTCCCGAAGATGTGCAACTTGAGCAATCATAACTTCGACCTTAGTCAACATAAGGCAACTCCAACTTTCAATTTAATTCGTGTCAAATAAAGCAAGCCCTACGACTAAAAACGTAATTTACAATATCTGAACTGTGAAAACAGTCCAAACACTTTTGTCCCTAAAATAAAAGAGAACTAACCTTTTTAGGGAGAAAATGGACGCCAACTGGATACTGATCGGGTTTTGTCCATAGCTCAATCTGTGCTAGTACCTGATTTGTAAAAGAGTTTGACATTACGAAACTAGGATGACCATGAGCACAGCCTAGATTTACTAGGCGACCTTCTGCAAGTAGAATAATATGTCTTCCATTTTTTAATGTGTAACGATCAACTTGAGGTTTGATTGATTCTTTACTGACACAATTTTCATTGAGCCACTTAACATCGACTTCAGTATCAAAGTGGCCAATATTACAGACAATCGCATCGTCCATCATTTCTGAGAAATGCTCACCAGAAATTATATCTACACAACCAGTGGCAGTAACAAATATCTTCGCTCTTTTCGCACCATCTTCCATTGTTGTTACTTCGTAACCCTCCATAACAGCCTACAAAAACGATGTGTCAAAATGAAGCCGAAATGAGGCATCACAAAAGTGATGAATAGAGATTGATGAGTTTTTGAATTTATCTGGCACTCGATCAACTATGCACAAACTACTAAATTTTGCAACGCAATCTAAAATTTAGGATATATATAATACAGTTATAAGTACAGTCCTACTTTTCCACAACAAAAATTAGTCATAACGTGTGTCACAGATGTCAGCGTTTACCTCATCAACGTTTTTAATTTACCTTCAGTCTACACCCTAATGATCGTAAGTAAACAATTTAAAACGTCTCCATATTGTGAAATTTTGTTTAGAAAACAGAACTATTAATCGGCTTGTACACAAATGAAAACGTTTCTTAGTTTGTCACTATGTAATTGCAGATTATTAGGACAACCTCACTTCCTATGAGGGGTGTCACTTAACATGAGTTGCACATTTTTTGTTTCTAGCATCTATCTAGAAGCTGTAGGACTAATCGGATAAAATAGTGATTAGTAATAAACAATGAAATGTAGGCTAAATTCTGACAGTACACATGGGCATAATTTAGATACATAAATTTAATGATCAACCTCATACGACACAAGTTAGGCTTCATGCCAACATATGCGATCAAAAACGACAGCTTAGTTCATCGACTGAGAGAACCATAATTGAAATTTAAGATAAAACATGTGAACCTTTCATTGGCGTTTACCCACAAAATTATTTCCTGACAGGCTTCTATTATGTAGTTAATTACCCCAATTCTGTCTCATTTTTGAGTATTTAACCTGATTTACTAATTTCTCTTATTTTATTACAAGAAACGTAACAAAAAGTGGGAGGGATATTGATCATGACTAAAAGCCAATTGGAAATTATTATTATTGAGGAAATGACCATTGAAACACTGATAAGTTCACATTCCCTCAATAATTATGGTATAAATACACGTCAACGTAGTTTCAGTATTCTGAAATGCTTACCTGTAAAGCATTGATTGGATCGGCTTCTGTTATAAGTACACGCGCGCCATAAGAACGAAGAGCTTGAGAACACCCTTTACCAACATCTCCATAACCTGCGACTAATGCTACCTTTCCTGCAAGCATGATGTCAGTGGCTCTTTTTAATCCATCAACCAACGATTCACGGCAACCATAGAGATTGTCGAATTTGCTCTTTTGGAAAACTTCATCAAAATATAAGCAACACCCTACCTTAGTAACAGAGTCGTTAACGTTGATGGCCGGACATTTTAGTCGACCACTGGAAAACATCTTATAAAGATTCCGAACACCAGTTGTGGTTTCCTCTGTTATGCCTCTTATGCCTTCAAGATATTCAGGATGTTTCTCGTGAACAAGAGATGTAAGATCACCACCATCGTCTAACACCATGTTTAAAGGTAAACCATCAGGAAATATTAAAGTCTAAGATTATATTTATGGTGTAAGTCATATACTTGCTCTATACACCAAGTGTACTCCTCATCGGTCTCACCTTTCCACGCGTAAACTGGAACGCCCGTCTTTGCAATGGCTGCAGCAGCATGGTCTTGTGTGCTAAAAATGTTGCAGGATGACCATTGAACCGATGCTCCCAGTTCGACTAATGTTTCAATTAAAACTGCAGTCTGAACAGTCATATGAAGACATCCAGCAATCCTAGCTCCAGTGAGTGGCTTTTCTTTGCCATACATTTGCCTCATCATAATAAGCCCTGGCATTTCATTCTCTGCTAACTTGATTTCCTTTCTACCCCAATCCGCTAAACTGATGTCGGCTGAAAATGAGTTATATTCAGCTATAGGTCGAATAACCTACCAACTTTAAACGGTGGTTTCGGCATGATTAGAGAACAGATTCACGAATCGCCTGAAGAATTATTTCCAGCAGATGAATATGGGACGTGTCAAACCCCTAGAAGTTGTAAAATCGACAGCCAAATCTAGTGTATGTAGGATGAAACATAAACATAGGATGTGAAAAAAGACGTAAGTATCTTGTGACACAAAAAACCAGAACTAAACACTAGTGATGTTCACATAATGTAATGAACAGGAAAACTACGTGCCTAGACCCTTATACGGTTTGAAGGAGCCATACGAGAAACTGAAAGGTCTTAATTTGCGATCTAACCGAAGTATGACGATGGCTGCCAGTTTCTCTATCGAGTTACTGACTCCTGTTTATTGAGACCATGGGAGGATTCCTGCGAAGTAGTACTATCGCCTTGAACACCAAACGAAGTGAAAGAGTTTGCAGATACAAGTGACAAATAAACATGGTTTGAGGAAAGACAATTGCGGGCACCAATATAAGCTGAACATACAAATTATCGAGGTTCCTCGCTCCGGTAAACTTCCAACGAAGTATCATTATTGAGAGAGTCCGGATGTGAGTGATGCCTGGACGCTCAAATGCTTTGACAAGGTCTTACGAATTTACACCATCAAAGTAAAACCACCGTTGTACTACAGGATCCAACCACTTGATTCATGTCTTACGAACGATACCGACACACTCGAGCGTGTTTAACGTTTGGGAACAAGGTCAGAAGTCGGTTTTTCCAAAATCCAACGATGAACGCCTAAACGTTCGACGGTTTTCCTCTAATCGTAGAACTCGAAATGACTTTATATTGACATCCTATATTATCAATCATCTCGGTGCCAACAAGTCCAATCTTTTTTCGCTTTTCGGAACAAGTTATTTTTGATGCCATAGCAAGAAGATTCGGAACTGTGATCTGAAAAACACAAGGTGGGGTTGCGCTTTTCTCACCAGGTGGTTAAATGACTGAAAGGCCTTACCCTAGGAACTAGTACCAGCCAAACCAGTGAACACTTTTAAGGAGAAGTTGGATTTTCTCTGGTAAATATGCTACAATGATTGACAAGTGTCTACCAACCTACTATCCTTGTTACTGAAGACATACTGATACTGCATAAAAACTTGGTAATAAATCAACTTATAATTAAGTCATTTCAATGAACAACTCTCCTGGTTATTACTCACTGCAAGTACAGAAAAGAAAGATCTCACCATAATTAGCAATACTCGCCCAAACTATCATTTCACAGGACAGATCGTCGCGTTAGCGCGATACATTTAACCAGAGGTTCTTGCACGTTATAACACATCAAATGCTATTTTTCTTCTTGGGAAATGAGTCCATAATAAGAAAGAAATACACGTCTGTTGTACCACACAAACCTAAATGAACTAACGTGCTGAGTAGCTATGGCCACGTGACTGATCCAAGTTAAAGTTCGCGCCTTTTTCAGCCTCTCAGCCTATGTAACGCATCTCCAACTAAATTCAATAACAGGATTGTATTAAGTTTTTCCTTTTCATTAACCGATGAGTTCTGACTGCACTTGCATTATACCCTCTAAATACTACGCTAGTCTCCTTAATTTTCAGTCGACCTAAGTGCAGTGTGTACAAATTATTATGTTGTTCGACGTTGTTACATGGTATTCCGAAGGGCTGTTGAATACCTATTGTAAATACAATATCGGTACTGAGACAAGCTTAAGGGCCATGGTAAGGGTATTATGAGTAACTATTGTAGATCATCGACGTAGATGATCTGTGTCGAATGACTGGGGACCTGCTAATTTCGAAGTCATACCTCTTAGTATCTAACGTGGATTAAACTTTCGTCGTATCAATGTACTAAGACTGCTTTTCATGACCGTACAACACAAACGACGCTGCCACAGACATGTACTGGTAAGACTGTGTATAGGAAAAAAGTGCAGCCACTGCTCCAAGGGCCAGCCCACTGGAAATAAACTTGATTCTGCCCCGTAATTTTGGCAGTCTGCTTGGTGACCATACACGATGAAGCGATAGTTGTCGTTCTAGCCATCTTTGTCAGCTATGGCAGTCGGGTCGCTTCGTTTGATACGTTTTTCTCAGTTTTTTTGATGTCGCTGTATAATCTAACATTTTAGTGTACTGAATTTCCGCAACTTATGTGATGCTACGTGTTGGCGCCAATTTTTCCAGGTAAATTTTATTTCTTCAGTTTTTTCTTTTGCTGTTCAAGTCAGAGTATTCTCTCTGACGTGTTTACATTTGTATATGATAAGATGTTAATCCGTTTTACTTTGAGTATAATTTTATAGATATCAGACTCCAGAGCAACCCAATCTTCCTATTTTGGGGAAAATTTTGAATAAACGGTAACAAAGCTCCAATATTTCTCCAAATTACCCCTGAATCTTATTACATTATGTAGAAGTCGGTTTCTATTTTCTAATCAAACAGAAACGTTGTGCGCGATATCAATGAAATTATCCGAAATGTCGCATTATAATGCAATAGTTCTCCACATTTTTCGACAGATATCGCTGATGAGCCTGTCGATTTTAATGACCTAGAAGTTTCCACCCATGTATTGCATCTTTTTCTGTCAATTTCGCACAGTAAAGGCAGTGCCAAATAGGCTGAACAACAGTTGGTAACGAGAATCGATTTATCACTGTAATTTAAAGACTGACTCGTCACAAATTTGAGTGTTTATTAAAATTTAATAAATTACAAATTGTCCATTAATGTAAAACTTTTTCCATTTCCTAATAACCGATTTTGCTTTTCTGAGATGTATGTTACGTAGACATTGAACCATCATTCACAATATTCTACAAAAATAAAAAATTACTCTTTACTTACCAAACAAATGTCATGACACTCAGCCATCTTATGAATCCTGCATGTTATGTGAACGATTGATAACATACCAACGGTATAACAGTATTGTGATTGATCCGAATAAAAACTTACGCTATGTCTGTTAACACTTGCGAAGCCAGCTGAAAATAAGATGAGCAAGAAGTAATTGTTTCAGTATAAATGCACATCACAAACTAATATAAAAAAACGCTGTTTAATGAAACATTCAAAGTGAATTTAGCTCACCCTTTCTCTGGATCGTCATCCACGCTTATTGGCTTTATCTCTTGCGTCGTGCAAGAAAGCCTGGCATGCAATATCCATTGCGTGCGTTATTTCTTTCTGTGGATTGGTTGCACTTAGTAACGGGAAACACAGGACACTTACAAATATATTAACACTGTAATGTGAACTTACTTTGAATCGTCCTGTAGAATTTGTACTTACTGGTACCATTTCACTTTTAGTTCCGTGTAAAGTACAAGTAATAGTCAGTTCAGGCGACAGCAAGCAACCTGGACATACTTTGGTTAATTTGCGATGATCATCATATATAATATCGCATAATCTGACCACGTAAAAGTTGTTCAAATACCTGTTAATACTCACGAACTGACCACGAATCTTGAGCTTCTCCAAACAATTTCAAAAGTACGCAACCTTTCATGTGTTTTTAATGGGAATGCGAAACTTTTATCTACGTGTTCAGTGTGCAGAAGTATGGTCTACTTCGATATTAGTACTGCTCTAGTAATAGACTTAATCTTAAAATTGTAGATTTGTCATAATGTAACTGCCTAATGTATCAGATCTTACGTGGAAGTCAAATCATCCTCTACACCAACTCATCGCATCGTAACAATCACCAGGATATGATGAAAAACAAACATAGGCTAGAGATAGAACAATATATTTAATATGAATAAAAGATATATGACTACAATCAAGAGTGACCACGCCTGAAAAGCCGAGCCATGCCATTCGATCAATTCGAACTAATTGAACTTATTCTTCCCGCCTTCTCCATCGTTGTTTCTCTAAGGGTTAAATGTTGGATATCTAATTTCCCAGCTGTCTCGTGTTCAGCTTTGAGGATTGTGTGGTTAGGGCCTAATGCCATTACAGACTCACCTGCCCTTCGCAAACACAGATGGTCTTTTATCGTGAGCGATCAGTTTATCAGTCTTGGTAGACATGTAGGTGATTGCTTTCAGCTTCATGTTGTCAACATTTCGCAACGTTTGTTGTCATGTTTGCATATGCGTCTACCTGTGGTTCCCTAACTTCTTCTGAATTACATGAAAGCGGTGGTGAGAAAATCTCTGTTTCCGATTAACTACTTTATGAGCATGTATTCAATATGAACTTACCTCGTTATATATGGAAAATTCTCAGTTGAAACGCTGACAACTGAAAATTTTACTGGAACGCACACAGCTTCATTTTCAACAGCCTCTAGTCCTTTGGAAGTGCACAAGTAATCGTTTAATCTGAAATAGTGTAACAGGCGTTCGAATTATTTTTGGATAACTTTCTTGCAGTTTGTGTGGTTCGCACGTCCTGGAACAATCGATTTCAATAACATTCTTCGTAATACTGGGACTATTTCTCACATAGTAATTCCACTTGATCTTTCCAAATAGACATTAAAGTTTTACTGAATGTACCTGCTAAGCTAGTATTCCTACTCTGTATTTCAAGTAATCGGTGAAGACAAGTCACGCTTTTGTGTATCTGCAACATACTGCTCTTATACTCGAATTTTTAACTGTTACGTGTCAAACTTTTGAAAAAATGTGTCCTAACTGTGAAGAAAATAAGTGAGGTTCGGAACACGTTTAACGGAAACTTAGTCGTATGATCACTAGGAAGCTTAACGAACAAGCAGACAGGTGTCCTATACCTTTCGTTACTAGTATTCCATGACTGTATTAGAATCATTGCCTGCATATTATAGGGCATTCGAGTGAGCAGACATGAGTTAAAACTAAGAGATGGTTGGAATATACACTATGCTTTTTCATCCACCGACCACCGTGTCACACCGTGATGGCTGAAATAAATTGTTAGAAGGCTAACGGCGCAACGATTTGTTCCCTTTGATAATCTTTACACAGATCCGGGTTTGTAAGTTTATCAAGAAAGTAACAAAAATGTGTATCATATTACTCCTTAGTGCTATTTATTTCATGTGAACTGGATGCTAAGACGTTCTCACTTCATGGATTTTTTTACGACGATTACCATGATAAATCAAAATATGATCGGATCCACAAATATATATTAAAAAATGGTTCCAATAACAAGGGAATATCAACGAAACATTTAAATCAGTTTTCCATTTACAACTTTCCCATTGATAATGTTAAGCTGCAGTCCTTGTTTTTGTTTGGAAATAAAAGGCAAAAAAAGTAACTTGTAAATGGTGAAAGCGATTCTCAGTCTATATTCAACGTCGAGCTTGGGGTCTGCAACCCCATCACGTAAAAACAATCTTGCTAAAAACGCTAACCAGATTAAACAGGTTAAACCATTTCAACTCTGCCTACAAGTTAAAGGAATAATTATGACGCCTGATGCTGAAAGTCGAGACTCTTTGGAAGTCACGAGGCCGATTCCCTCTCTAACAGCCCCAGTAACAAATATCATAGGCATATGGAATGTCCGGACAACGTGAGAGACCGGGATGACCAGTAAAATAGCTACGGGAATAAAGTGATACAACTTGGTGGGTCTCGGAATCAGTACTCGAAACCGATTGGGCCAAGCTGGACAGCAAAGATTAGATACGGTAGAGATACTCCTTTGGTCCAGTCAAGAAGAAGAAAATGCACCTTGCACTCAATGCGTTGCTCTGATGCTGTCCAAAAAAGCACGTAATGTACTTATGGGATGGGAACCTCGCGGATTAAGGATCACCAAAGTATCCTTCAAAACAAATTAGGAGGGAATCACAGGGAGTGTTAGACAGTGTTACGTACCCACCAGTGATAGCAACGGCGACGATAAAAGTTAGTTCTATAAGAAGCTGCAGTATATCATTGCGAAATGCTTAAAAAAGGATCTCACCATCCTGATTGGGGAAGTGAATGCCAAAGTCGGAATGAATAACACCGGATATGAGGATATCACGGGATGACATGGACTAGGAGAGACAGACGAAAATGGGGAGCGATTTGCAAATCTATGTGCATTCAACAAATGTCCCACACAAACACATACAAAAAGCTACATAAATCTCACCGGACCACATTACGTAGAACCATATTGATCACATTCACATCGGTAAAAAATTCGGGAGGACAATAGGAGACGTGAGAACTAGAAGAGGTGCTGAAATAGCTTCAGATCACCACATTGTGGTGCCAAAGAAACACTGGACAACTGGGAAAGCAGTAATAAAATATTCAATACAGCCTTCTTCAAGATACTAAATGGCTCAATAGGTTCGAGAATACTGTCAACAACAGGTTATAAGCTTTACAAGATCTACGGAAGGAAGAAGAATCCACTATGGAAGACAACTGGAAAGGGATCAATGTGTCAGGATGTTCTAGGCCTCAAGAAGCAACTTCATAAAGAGTGGATCTCTATGGAAACCC